CAGGAGTCCGGGAACAGGCAGACCCAGATTGGCACATGGTTCTTCTACGTAGCAGTCTGTGATCCTGACATGTCCCTGGATGTCAGTTTCTTGAACTGTAAAATCGAATGATGCTGAACTCATTGAGTTTCCATTAGGATGAAATGACACACAGAGTAGGGAGCCAGCAACCCAGTGCCTGGCTCCTCACCAGTGCTCAGTAAAGGCTACGTCCTTCCTTTCTGTTTCAAATTCCCTACACCCTCATGACTTCCTAGAATCTTGCCCATCTTGGCTTCGCTCTAGTGTGTTTTGCCCTCAGCCCACTTTCAGATCAGCCAATGGAGCCATGACTGGCTGGAACATTTTTCATCCAATTGGTCTCCTTCCAGCAGTTTCATATGGTCTCTTGCTATAAATCACTCTGGGAAAATAAATGTCCCCAATCCATTAGTGCCTTTCTACCACAAGCCAATCTGAGCCACAAACCAGACAAGGCTTGTTAATGGCCACTTAAATATATTCCTGCAGTGCAATCTAGAGACCCTCAGCCAGCCTCAAATTTTAACCAACCCCTCTGCATGACACAAGCCCTTGTGACAAGGCTGATGGCAGCAAAGGCACGGCTCTGACGCTCGTCGCTTAGGAAGGACATGCATGCCAGTTTGCTAGGACAGTTTGAGTCTCCCCCTCTAACCCAGAGTAATTATCGATAAGGCCCCCTTTTTACTTTCAAAGGAGTTCCAGTTTGAATGATAAACTATACCAGGTCTCCATGGCAACCAGGAATAAGCATTTAGATAATAATAACTATTATTTATTAGCCGCTTGCCATGAGGAAGACGTCATCACCAAGGTCTTTATGCCCTGAATCTCATTTAAACTTCGTCACAGCAATATGAAAGGAGGTGTTATTATTGTCTCCATGGTATGGACTGGTTTGCACAACATGGCCAAAATCAAGCACTTGAGAAGGTGGTGTATGCTCCACCCCCAACTGCTCTGGGTGCCGGCAGCTTCTGGCTGGGAGCTGTCCCTTTCTCTGGAGAGCAGCCCTCAGCAGAAGCCTCCTCTACCCAAATCCTTCCACTTACCCATGTGGGAAGCAGGCCCAGCCAGTGACAGTAAAGGCTCCCTCTCTCTGTTCATTTAGGTCTACTGGGAGACCCACGGAGACCATGTCTTTGCCTGGCTTCTCCTTGGCCCTGTCTGCTTTCCTTGCTTCTGTTGACCCAGTAGTGCCACCTCAGTAAACCACCTAATACAGGGTCCTCATGTCAGGCTCTGGCTCCAAGGCGCTTGATGGAAGGGATCCATTTAGCAAGTGGTGGAGCTCACGGCTACGAAGGTCCGACTCGTCTGCTAAGTAGAAGTGGCATCATCTTGCCTGTATGATACACATGGTTAGAAGCACTGCCTCCAGGTCATCTGGCCATCGAGAAGCATAGGGCAGGGTCCAGCACGGTAGCATAGTGGCTAAAATCCTCACCTTGCTTGCACCAGGATTCCATATGAGTGCCAGTTCTAATCCTGACTGCTCCACTTTCCCTCCAGGTTTCTGAAATGGCCTGGGAAGGCAGTTGAGGATGGCTAAAGCCTTGGAACCACAGGGTTCTCTGCTTGGGAGATCAAAAAAAAGCTCCTGGCTTCTGGCTTCAGAGCGACACAGCTCCAGCCATTGCAGCCACTTGGGGAGTGAATCGTCAGACAGAAGATCTTCCTCTCTATCTCTTTATCTTTTTCTCTTTTTCTTTGCCTTTCCAATAAAAATAAATAAATCTTTAAAAAAAATGAAGCATAAAGGGAAGCTTAGATGTGACAACAGTCATAACAACAGTAATGACTGCTCATGGAACGCTGACAAGTGGCAAGCCTCTTCAGCACCTCCGATCCTGTCACCAGTCACAGGCTGAGGTTGTCACTCACTGCCCCCATTCCACACAAGAAGCACAGAGACACTGAGGCTTACACAGGTAGTCACACGTCCAAGGAGAAGCCACATGGGAACTGATGTCAAAGACTGCATGTTTTCTGCTTGCGGTGTGTAAACTGTTCAATGATTATCAAGAAAACAGCATCCCCTGTCCAAGCCGACGTTTTTATAACATTTTAGGCAGAAGATTGCTTTCCTTTCAACACCCTGTTTTTGCATACATAGTTCTACTCTGCACAGGAAGCCATATTAACTTGGGAATAGCCAAAAAATGTTCCCTGAAGACAGAAAAGGAGTAACGGAATCATATTTATTCAAGAAAGGGAGCAAAGAGAAAAAAAATCCATGCCAAAGGTTCAGAGATGTAGATTGTACTTCCTGATGTTTTTCTACCAAGAGAGTCAACATGAGCTAGAAAATTCAAATGCTAACTCCACTATTTATTTTGGAGATTTCGGGGCAAATTATTTCATGTCCACAAGTCCCAATTTGTTGTTCTATGATACAAGAAAAACACTGATCTGTTCATGAATGAGAGAAAGTAAACAAGACAGTGTTCGTATTTCTCATTGTCACTTCTTTCCAATTTTTGTAAAGTGTATGGAGTAGAGAAGCCAGGTTGAACTCTAATTCTGTTCTGACACTAGCTCATATCAACCAACAGAAAGCCTATCCTATTTGTTGAGAAAAGATTTCCATTAAAAATATCAGATAAAAGGGCGACCTTCATCCACGAGGCCAACAGCTGATTTATAAAAATGCAGCATGAGTCATCCTAGAGCCCAAGACTAAAACTTATACTTGGTGGGCATCGTGGGCCAGCCAGTCTGAGCACAGGAGGAGGAAGGGCCCAGCCAGCTGTCTTCACAAGAGTGCTTCAATCTTCCCTTGCAAAACCGATGAACACTGCTTCCAGCTTTGCAAAACGAAAATCAATCGGGGCACTTTGCAGTCCGGTATCCTGTATGCAGCCCCATGCTTGCTTGGCTTTCTGAACAACTGGGGTGTGGAATCTGCAGTGGTGTGTGTGTGTGTGTGTGTGTGTAAGTGTGTGTGTGTAAGTACATGTGTCTGCACATATACACAGCTCCATTGAACAACAGATTTTTGTGCCTGGATTTGAAAACCAATCTCCTGGCTGGCATCTTGACATTTATTATTTCCAAATACTTTGGCTCTGATCAGCATTTATGTAGTTAGCATGAGGATAGAGACCGTAGACCTGTTTGCATTAATGATGATGTCCTTTTCTTTACCAAGCAGCTGCAGAATTTCCACTCTCTGAACATACACATTCTGAAATAAGAGTCCTGTCACCCAGTCCTCAATTTCAAATGGGCAGTCATAAATCCTCCCTCTTTCTCTCCCTCCCTCTCTCCCTCACATGCACACACATGCAATTGTGTGTATAGCTTACATCCATGTGCATCAATTTGCATGTACACGCATACATCATTTTTGTGGGGTTTCAGGGACTATTTTAATTGTACTAAGTAGAAACTCTTCCACCAACACTTAAGAAAAAGCGTGGCTCCACAATCTGCCATCTCTGTCCTCAATGTATTCTTCCAGCAATAATTTACTCAGGACGCACAGTCGCAGCAGGAATTGGGGACTGATTGGCAAAAAGGGCAAGTCTAAGATCTACCCTCTGAAATCAATCAGCTTGGATTCGGGAGTTCACAAGACCCTCCCCACCAAATCCAGTTTGTAAAAACCTTTTCCTTCCCCCCCCCCCCCATTCCTCCCCTGCGCCGGAATTCCCCAGAGAGCCCTGCAAACAATGTTTGGAGTCAAACAGCACCTGCTGCTTTACAGGAGTGGAACCAATGAGAGATCCGTGCCCACTGCCTTGTCACCTGGCAAATGAAGTCTGCGTCTGCTGTCAAGATGACAAACAGAGGGACAATCTCCTAGGCAGTTTTCTTGCCTGGGGTCCAGCGTTTAGCCCTAACCCCTGACCGTGAGTCGCGGCTGCTCCCGCCGCCCAAGGGAGCAGTGTGTGTGTGTGAAAGCTTTAGAGAGCTTCGCGAAGAAGAGACAGACGCTCCCTCTGGAGCACCCAACGAGCTCCCCATAGAAGCCTCTCACGATGCCGCAGGGAGTGATCAGTACAGGACAGTCTCCCTGCAAGCCCTTCCCGGAACTTCGGGGAAACGCGAAAATAACGCAGTGCCTGCGCTCACAGACGTTTAAACACGCCGGGCAATCTCCGCTGGGCGTGGGTGTGGAGTTCTCCCAGGCAGAGCCGGAGCCACAGGGCATCTTAGAACCGGACTGCTTCTGAAAGGAGAAAACGAGTTCCCAAGAGGCAGATCCTGGATTCCTTGCCCCTCTCCTACCACCACAGCTGCCCTGGGAGAAGAGCCGCGGATGCTCTTGGCGGAGAGCGAGGGTCATGCAGCAGTCCTGGCCTCACCTCTCCTCTGGCTTAGGCGCTCCTTGCTATCCGGCTTTTCCCTGGGTCCTCTCCCCGTACCACGCCACAAGGAGGCAAGTGTGCAGGTGCAGGAGAAGGGGCACCCAGCCCCGCCTCCAGGACCCAAAGCTATCAGGACAAAGATCGAAGGTAGAATCCCGGGGAGGCCACCAAGTGGCAGCTGAGTGGTCCTGGGCAAATCCCTCATTCTCTGAGCGCTTCTTTCTCAACCTAGAACAGACACTCGAGACGTCCACAAACTCGTGGGGTCCCAAGAAGTGTGAAATACGATCGCGCAAGAAAAACTCGTTGGCGGGCGCTCAGCTAACCGACTGTTATTCTCACTTATTTAACGGTGTGAACGCCCACCCTACCCGCGCCGGCATCCGAGCTGTCCGCCCGCTGGGATCGCCGCAGCACAATCTCCTAGCTCAGCTCTGGGTCGTCACTGGACCTGCAAGTAGGACCACCCCTCCGTCCCAGCTTGGAGATGGGGAAGGGAACTGTCAGCACCTCCCCAGCCCCGGCCCGCTGCGGGCCACAGTCAGCTCCGAGAGCCGGGTGGGGCGCGAAGGAGACCTCGGCGGCAGCGGCTCGGACCCGGCTCCCTCCCTCCCGGAGCGCGCAACGCGCACGGAGCCGAAAGCAAGAAAGGCACAGATACTGGACCAGGCTTTGACGCGGATCTTGAGCTCGCCGTCCTGCGGCTCCGGCATGGCCTTCCTGGAGAGCCGCAGCTTGTTCAGCCCCCCGAAGCCGGCCAGCACCACGGCGCGCATCTCCTGGGCGTCCCCAAGGCGGTGGGGGCCGTCGCCGCCGCCCTCCGCCGGCTCCTTGCTTGCCTCCTTCTCGATCATCTGCTCGGTCTCCTCCGCCTTCTCCACGCCTTCCTTGGCCATGGCGCGCTGGGGGACGCGGGGCGCACGGGCTACGGCGGCTGCGGCTCGGGGGTTCGGGCTCAGCTCGCGCAGGTTCCTCCTGTTGAATGTGGGATGCTCGGAGGCGCAATGGCTGCAGCCTCGGCGAGCGGTGCCGCGGTCCACAGCCTGCGCCGTAATCCTTAGACGAGCCACGCCTACGCCTGCTCCACCCTCTGACCTACCCAAATCAAGCCTGGACTCCAAACCCTTAACCAGTCACAGAAGAGGCCTGTTGACCGCTTTCCTAAATCTCGGATTTGTCGCGGGTAAGACACGCCCAGAGACGCTGTCTTGTCCGGACCCTGTGGGCTCAGTACTTGGTTATATACGGCGCGGGCTCGAGTGCGGTGAAAGGGACGGAGAGGAACGTCTGGGCCTGGAAGACGCCTCCAGCGACCAGGTTGCCTGGTCTCCCTACCCCGAGCTGCGGGGGCGGGCGAGCTGGCCAGGAAAGTGGGCTGTTTCCCAGAGCACCGGTTCCGGGAGAAAAGATCGAGAGGTTCGGAAAGTGGAAACTATAACGACCTCCCCCTGCGCCCTGAAGAGTCTGCACCTGCAGGGTCTGTCAGCAGGCTCGTTCCTAGGCAGCCCCTGGGTCGCCTTAGGATGAGCCGTTCTCACCTCCCACCCCATTTCTGGCCATTCTGCATGCTCCACAAAGAGCCCCGGGCCGAAAACGGGTCCTTTTCTGAGTCCCAGAAGATCGAGGTGTTCTAGCTACTCAACAAAGTAGCTGTGCTATCTAGACCTTTGGGGAGGGGGGGTGATTTCTTAAAAAATAATAATAAATTAAAAAAATATATAAAGATGGGAAATTCTATGTCCCTTCCAGCATTGGGACGTTCATTGCACAGTCCTTGGCCTCAACACCCCCATCCATAACCTAGACAGGTACATTTTGCTTACTACCCTGTGTTAAATGTGGTAGATGTGATTTCAAAGATGGTAGTCCTTCCCTGTGAACAGTTGGAACTCAGCTTGAAGCTAAAAGGACACAGTTGACTGTAGGCTGGACACAAGGAGTGCCAGGGTACTTCTTAGTACTCTGTTTCTCTGCTTTAAAAAAAATTATTTATCATTATTAGAAAAGCAGATTTATAGAGAGAAGGAGAGACAAAGATCTTCCATCTGCTGGTTCATGCCCCAAAGTGGTCACAATGCCTGGAGCCGAGCTGATCCAAAGCCATGACCCAGGAGCTTCTTCTGGGTCTTCCACATGGGTGCAGGGTCCCAAGGCCTTGGGCCATCCTTTACTGCTTTCCCAGGCTACAAGTAAGGAGCTGTAAGGGAAGTGGAGCAACTGGCACACGAACCAGTGCCTATTGGGATCCCGGTGCATGTAAGGCAAGGACTTTAGCCATTAGACTATTGCGCTGGACCCTGTTTCTCTGCTTTAAATGCCCTGCCCCTCCAGTCTTCCAATCAGCATCGTCTTCCTGCCTGCATCTAAGGTTCCCCTTGGACCAGAAGACATATTTCATTGCTGTTAACTGGTGTGAACTCTTGCTTCTATATGAAGGCTCTCCAAACTCCAAGCTGAATTTGTATCCTATACAATAACCTCTGGCTAGCTTACCTATCATTATCCTGATCATGTCGTTTTCTTTAGCCAAGTGTGAATTTCGTGCAGATAACCTCAGGAAGTTCCAGCGGGGATCAGGGAAGTGAGAGACAGAGTGACAGCAGGCAGTACAGGTACATGGATGAGTAGATCTCCAAGGAAGACAGTCCAAGGACCTGTTTCTGCTGTTCACCCAGCAGGGTCTCCCTGGGGCTGAGCATGTGGTTGCCATCCAGTAGAATATACTTCAGAAAACACTGGGTGAATGACTAATGGAGCCAGCAAAGGCAGATGGCCCCTGGAAGTCCGGAGGAATGAGCCACAAGCCTTGTCCAGGGAGTTGGAGAAATGCTAGCAGAAGAGACCCTGGAGGGAGAGCAGAAAAGATGACAGGCACATTCAAACACACAGAGGTGGCTGGTCAAAGTGCCTTTGAGGAGAGACTGTTTTTCGTATTAGCAATCACTGGAAATGAGGCTGAGGATCTGGTTAGAACCAACTTTGGAAGGGACATCTTTACCAACTTGAAAAATGTAACATGTAATCATGGAGGCACTGGTACCACAGAAGGCTTAGAAGACAGAAGCAGTGGGCTGGGACTATGGTACACTGGGTTAAACTGCTGCTGTGATGCCCTCGTCCCAATCAGAATGCCAGTTTGAGTCCTGGCTACTCCACTTCCAGCCCAGATTTCTGCTTAATGCACCTGACAAGCTAGTGTATGGTGACTCAGGTTCTGCCTCCTACATGGGAGAGCCAGTGGGAATTTCTGCTTCTTGGCTTCTGCCTGGACCAGCCTCAGCTGTGGCAGCCATTTGGGAAGTGAACCAGCAGATGGAAAATCTCTGTGTCTGAGTGTGTGTGTGTCTGAGCCTTTTAAATAAATAAGATAAATGTTCTAAAATTTTATGGGATACGAGTTTGGACAGAAAAAAAGGGGATTTTATATCGCCAGAACTAAAGTTTAGGGTAGGAATTTTAGCACTAAGCAGGAGACAGAGTAGAAAACAGAGCTACGGAAAGCATGGCCATCAGTTATAGATGATGGGGGCAGGCTGTGTAAATCGGTGAAGCAGTGAGAAGGGCATCGGCAAGGCAGTGGCTGTAGGACGGAAGCGGAGGACCAGCAATGCTGAATACACAGGGCTTGCTCAGGGAAGTGCACACCGTACTATAAATCCAAGTGTCCAATGTGAGACAGAGTGTTTAGGATAGAATCTCTCCTGAAACAAAAATCTAAGTACCAATGGGTTTGTTTGTTTTTGGAGGTAATTCCTGGAAACTCCACTTGGAAAGCAGGAGAAGCAGGGAGGTTAGAAGCTGTTAATGAGCAGGTTAGCACTTAGGACAAACGGAGCTTGAACACACAGGAGACCCCTGATAGGCAGGCTGGGTCAAGTCTTAAGGTTGCCACGCCCGAGGAGTAAGAATATATGTATGTGTTCACTGAATTCTATATACGATTGGCCAAGAGCAGCTCTTTGGCCTGATAGCTCCCCGTACTTCCAGGCTGTTCCCATGTAGCTGGACTGAGAGAATCCTGAGGCAGAGAACCTGGGATGTTGTCTGTAGGAATCATCATTTTGCATGCAGAGTTATATATAGCCCATCATTGACAACGTGGGCAATCACATGTGACTGCCTTGGGAGTCTGCCATTCCAGACGCTTCATAGATTTTTGTAATTGGGTTCTCAGGATAACCACATAAGATAAAAATTTAAATCCCCATTTTAGAGAGGAGGGACCTAAGTCTTTACTTGAACCAAGAGCTTGTGGTGAGGCATAAAACTGACTCCAAAGCTATTCTGTCAGCATCACACCACATGTGTTTATTTGAGTGGGCCAAGCCAGTTTTGCCCCTCATTGATAACACTCCAAGGCATTTTGGGATATTCTTTGCTTTGTGCCAAGCCTCCTGTTATTCCTTTTCCCTCCAAGGTCACTTGTCTTATATATTTGTCTGGTATATCTATATAACATAATGTCTGAAACTGGGCAGCTGTACTAACAGGGTGGCTCTCCAGCTCATGGTTGTGGAGGTTCAAAGGCATGGAGGTATTTCTGTGGCTCTGGTGATGCCCTCCTGGCCTATAGCATCCAATAATGGGAGCACTACAACACTGAGAAATACCATCACCAGATGGGAGGCCTGATGGCGACTCAGGGCTCAGGCTCAGTGTTATAAAAACCCACTGTCCACTAACCCTAATCCCTTGTGAAGGTGACCTAAGGACCTCACATTAGGTCCCCACTTCTCCACATCACTGCACCAAGGATGGAACTTGCAACTCAGGAACCCTTGGGAAGAAAATGCGAACCATGGCTGCTTGAGTCGGAGTGTTTTCCTTCAGCATTAGTAAAGTAAATCTACTTGGCAGTCAGCACACAGCATGTTTAAGAGAAAATGTTTGTCTTATAGTGTGTTAAAGGGAATGTAATTACTCTCTCCAAGGGAATCTTGTGGCTGTTTACAAACCCCAGATTGTAAGGGGTAGGCAGCTGATTGTCAAGGAGCCTAGCAGGATCACACCACTGTCCTTGCTGCTTAGGGAGGAACACGCCCTGCGACCCCGTTATTGCTGAATAATTCCCACCTCAGCTCCTTTCTGCGGATTATGGCAAGAGTCATGCTCCATGGCTTGTCTCCAAATAAACACCATAAATCAATTTTTAATTTATAAAATTAAATTATGAAATGGATTCCTTGGGCATCCGCTCAGAGCCTCATCAAGAACTTTCTTCTATGGTAGATCAATGTCAAACAGCAACCGTTGGTGGTGGGACAGAGTATTAACAGCTCGGTGCTGGTGATCTGCCAGAGACCTGACAAGGGGTGTGTGTGTGTGAGAGACAGAGACAGAGACACACACACGCAGAGATTGAGAGAGAGAATAGAGTCCAGAGCTACAGCTTAGAACTCCTCCAGATACTGGCCATCTAAAGGGAGACTCAGACAGCCGAGGTGAAGTCTTTGAGCAAGAAATTGGAAACTATCTTCATCTGATTTTAGGGATAGTTTTCTAAATAATGTTGAAAGGTTAGGTGATTTTCTAGAGAAATGCATCTGCATCTTTAACTAGAACTAAATGATTATTTCTGGTTTTGTTGGCTTTAATCCAGTTGGAGTCCTTTTCTGTACACCCATTATATTATTTAATCTGTAAAATATTATATTTTAATTAGAAAGCTGTTAAACTTGCCATTTTAAAATTTGCTTTTCTCTATAGCATGTCCTATTTTTATTAAAAACTTTTATTTATGAAAGGCAAAGTTACACAGAGAAGGAGGGACAGAGAGAAGAATCTTCCATCCGCTTGTTCACGCCCAAAGTGGCCACAGAGGCCAGGGCTGAACCTATCCACAGCTCCTTTTCAGCTGCAAGAATTGAGTGCAAATAGCTGGTCTGACAGGTGATCCCAGGAAGCAGCAGGAGGTATCTGCAAAAGTGAGACAGGAGAAAGAAAGAGGTAAATGCAAGGTTCAAAATCTAATAGACTGT